GATGCAAATTATCATTTTCAATTTTAAGATCAACAATTCGGTGTGTAAGGGGTACAAGGAGATCAATATATAGGCCCAGTGACTGTGACATTGATGTAGCAATCTCTGATGCTCGACTTCAATGTCACTAACATATTAATAAAGATTATTATTATTATTATTATCATTACTAATTTCACTTATAAACTCATTACTACTGATTTCTGATCCTATTTCAAATTCATTTTATTATTATTATTATATTTATGATACAAAAAAAAAAAAAAAAAAAAAATGGGCTATAGCCTTGGGTATTTTTCAGAATTTTGGCATTTTCTTAAAATGGCCGTAACTTAAAAAATTGAAGTCAAAATCACCTTAAACTTTCTACACAGCATGAGGGCATCAATATGCATCAGAAAATGTAATTAAAATTTGGGGTGATTTCAGGGCCATTTTTTGGAAAAAACCATGGGCTATAGCCTTGGGTATTTTTCAGAATTTTGGCGTTTTCTTAAAATGGCTGTAACTCAAAAAATTGAAGTCCGAATCACATCAAACTTTCTACACAGCATAAGGGTATATACATTTTACAGTATCATCCCTTACTCCTTGTGAGTGTAGGTTGCTATTAACATCAGCTCCTTTCTCTATTAATAATTTACATAATTTGACATTGCCACCAAAAGCAGCATGCATCAGACCAGTCATACCATCCTAGAGTATAAGAATAAAATATTAAGAATATACATGTAAATGTAGTCACTAAATATTATAACCACACTATAGTATAGTGTCTCTTAATGGACACTCTCTATAGCGTACACCTCCATTTAATGGACAGCACCTAGTGTACCAATTACATTTCTTACTTTATAAGATAAACTCCACATAAAGGACACCTCTGTATAACAGAGACACTTTCTTATCTAGACTACAAGTGTCTGTTATATAGAGGTACTCCTGGCATAAATATTGATTGATAAAGTCCCCACAAATGTCAACTATATCTCAACTATTACAGGTCAGATAAATCTCTCAATACCTTATCTGTGGCATCCACTCTAACTGAAGGATCATCCAGTATCTCTCTCACATCAGTCAATACATTAGCCACCTCTTTATTTTCTATACAACATTTAATAAGTAGCAACTCAATGCAGTAGCAGTACTACCTTTGCTTCACAAGTAAAGGAGTTTTTTCCTGCTTCATTCTGAGCACTGGCCGCCATTTGTAGGAGTGGCAAGAATCACTTTTGGTACACGTGAAATCACGTGGTGAGCTGCATTCGATACAAAGGTACTATTCAAGTATTATCATGCATACCGTAGCACAGTACAGTGTAGCCTTTATATAACGAACAATTATAGACAAAAAGGTAAGGCTATACTGTATATAGGAAAATAACTAATGAATCTTTGCTTAGAAGCTATTACAATCCATTGGTCCACATCCACCATTTACTTCCATTGTCTTACAAAATTTACCCTTGTATTTCATTTTATTAGTTAAACAAATAGGTATACAATGTCAGTATCCATGTCCAATGAATTCCAACAGAGCATGTCACTGATGTAAGGAGAAGAGGAAGAAAACGAAATTTTACAAAAGACCCACACAAACAAAATATCTGAAATAACAATACAACTGATAGTAATAAACTATCAGTAGTGGATAGGGCAGGAAATGACAAGAGCCAGGAGTGTGTAGGATTAGGTTTACTTGTCTTTTTCTTGTCTTCTTTTGCACTAAAAATAATAGGAAAAGAAATAGAGAGAAAGGAAGAGAGAGAGAGAACAATAATGTACAGATGCAAAATATTTGATGAAGTGGTAATTTTGATTAAAGCTGTGAATAACTGCATTAGATACTGAGGAGGGTGTCAATCACAAAATTAAAAATATATTCCATGCATGTGCAATATAAAGAGGGGAAAGTAAACAACATTTAATTTTTTTGCATGTACATTGTACATGTACATCCATGAGCTCTTACTTATCAAGGGTTAAGAGTGGGAGGGCAAAGAATGAGCTGATTGTGAATAAAGCATACAAACAGACTTTGATTAGTGTCTCTAAAAATATAAAAATTATTGACCAAAAGAAAAAGGGAGAGAGGAACAGAGGGTAGGAGGAGAGAGAGAACTTTTTGACTGTAAGAGATAAAAGTGTGAGAAAGGTAGAGGGAGAACCTGCTGCAGTATAAAGCAAAGGGAAAAGTGAGATGTGACCAATAGCTGATAGTAGTAGATATATCCTTGTGAATTTCTTGTCTTCTAATGCCAGCAAACTATAACAACAATAACACTAACAATAATAGTAATCATTAAAAATCAAAATCCTCATAACTATATTCAGAATCAGCTCAAACTTTCTAAACAGCATAAGTACATCAATATGTATCAGAAAATGCAATAAAAGTGTTTCTCTGTACCTCATTGGTATTGTTATCATTAGAACTGCTTTCTCATGCACATGCCAACCAAACAAGAAAGATGAGTAGGCACACAACACAATCACTTTAATGAAATCTTGACTGGAGGATTTAGAGAACCACAATTTGAGCAGTGGAGGCTGTAGAAATAATGATCAATAATATCAAAAAATAAGATTCTAAAGTTATTTAAGCTAAATTTGGTGAAATAATAATTTAATAATATTATAAGAAGTAAGTGACTCACAATCATTGTTAGGAGTGTCAATATTAGAGTTACTATTGGTGGAACTGATGGTAGGACTTGGTGAGACATTTCACCAACTAAACCACTTGTCATGCTACCAGTAATGGACAGAGTATAACCTAATCTAGTGGCTGCATGAGAGAAAGAGAGAGAGGGGGGGAGGGAGGAAGAGAAGGAAAGAAAAGGGAAAGGGGAGGAGAGAAGAAAAAATATAAAGAATTGGTACAACTCATAAATTTGCAATCATGGCATTAAGCCAAGTAGAGGAAATTTTCACAGCCAAACTCCCACAACTAATGCCAATGTTTATAATTATTCCAGGCTTCCAGCACATGCATCTACCTACCTATTATAGCAAGTGTCTTGTCAATCACATTATACAGTGCCCAGAAGTTTGGGGCCCAATATGCGTGACACAATCCTCTCTTGAATGGAAACAACCTGCTCAACACTTGACCTAACTGACCCTAAAATATAATGAAAGTGAAAATGTAAAATGGCAAAAAATTTCTTGCATACACAGTAATCACAATTAAGACTTGTAATAATAATAATAACAACAACAAAGGGCATCTTTACATGCTATTTCTGTAGTATATATATTACCATAGTAACAAATGGTCCAAATGACAATATAAATACTGTTAAGACAAGAGTGCCTAAGAGTAGAAACCTGTCAACTCTGAACTGACGTAACAAAGGAGTCTCAACTATAAAAAAATATAAAATACTTTTATTAAATAAAAATAGGTGCAAAAATAAATAAAAGTACTACGGTGCATGTGCCATACAGCTATAAAATTTTGTGGAGGATTTTACATTCTATTATTGACAATAAAACTCATGAAATATAATCAAACAAAGTTTAGTTTTGTGATGTACTGCATTTTGACAAAAATTACCATGCTATGAGTTGCATGCAATAGCAAAAAACTGACCTTTTTTGTGCTGGTCATCAGACTTTGTAAAGCAATAGTGCTTCAATAAATAAATGAAATATGCTGGAGATATGTATAAGAATATGTGCTTTAGATTGAGTAGAATAGAAAACCAGATAGCACCCTCAAGATGTCTGCCCTACATAGTAAGGACAATTTTTACAAGTTCACTTTAAATTATGTTTACTAATTTATTTTAAATGCTAAATTAAACCCATAAGCCTAACTAGAAGTCTAGATGCTACATTAATGGTGTTGTTGTTATAGTTTAACTATATAACTAATGTATGATAGTATCATCAATTACCTCAATTATCCTTGTAATCGAAAGCAGAAGAACTCCAAATAAAAATCCATTATATTGAAAATGAATATCTACAATAATAATAATAATAACAATTAGTCAATTTAGTATGCAATCTAAACATTTATATTGTCATATTAAATTTCCCTCAAGTGACAATAGGTATCTTTGTATTAAGTATCTTTTCCCTCTCACAATACATTGAACATTAGTTCACTTCCTTTCTCTCCCTCCCCTATCCTTCCTTGCTACAAAAACTAATCTAAAGTTTTACCAAGGATACTGGTTGCCAATTTGAAGTGGTCCCTGCAAATTGTCAGGTATAGAAAGTTAGTCTATCATTTTAAAATATTTGATCAGGGCTCCTGATTAAAAGGAAGTACAAATTTCTTAAGTGAAATATACAAGAAGCTGTAAAATGGAGGTGCCAGTCCAAGTTTTAGTCACTAGTTGGCTTTCTTATTAGACAAGACTACTATAATATAGTGGCTAGTTGGCTTTCCTATTGCACATGACTACTATACTGTAGTACCTCAATACAAGGATACAGTGTACAGTATACTGTAAACAACTTATATACATGTGTGCTGTCCTCATGGAATAATATTGAATGAATTCAGTGGATACTCTTTAAATTGATAGCAAGCATATATAGTAACTGTATAGCTATCAAAGGTTGAACCAGCTGGTGGCCATGCAGCTAGCATCATGTAATTTCATTTTAAGATTCATTCGATTCACTGCACACAAGAACTTGCTATTAATGTCATTAAAATGGAAGTTGAAAACACTATTTAGAAACTCATGTATAAATTTAACTTTGTACAGGCAACTTTGTATTGCTCCACAGACAAC